TGATTATTAAAATTTTATCTATGGCATGTCATCAAAAAATATAAGATCAGTCCTGTTTTATTTTACGAGGCTTGAAATCTAATTCAAATTTATCAAGAAAGTTTTTCCCTTTATATAGTTAAAGGAATAAACAATATTAATGATTATTCAATTCTTTTATAGCATCAGTCTGTATTTATAACCTGCCAAAAAGTATTAAATCTTGTGACTTGTTATTTTAAGTAAAGATCTTTGAAAGGTTCAAAGATATTATTACTAATACTTAACGCCTAATAAAGTTTTAATATGCAAATAATCATAATAACTTGAAAATACTGATTCGTGTGAGTTTTTGTCCATTAAAAAATTGCAATGAAGGATTGAGGAAGTCGCTTATTTTTATATAATATATAATATTTGTTATAGAAAGGTTTTCGAAATTCAATGATGATTAGTTTCAGTGTATTTTAAACAATAATTCTACAACTCGATGTTTTGATTTACCAGATCAAAAAGGTCTGGAAGGCCACTAAAATTCGCATCGAAACTTGTATAAAACATTTGTTATCTTTTTAAAATTACCCAAATACTTCTTCCATATCTCGTAAAGAATAGATAAAGAAAAGTGCATTATTCTTTAAAAGGTAATTTTTAGAAAATCTGTTTGTTTGGGATTAGTCGAAAATTTTAGACTCGATTCGAAATGTTAATATCAATATTAAATTGATTATCAAAATCGAAATGTAATCAATTATGTATTTTCATTATTTACTCTCATTTTATTATATTTGTTATGTAATCTATGATCAATCTGTTTACTTGGGTTTCGCTCATAAAACTATCATCAATTATTCAATATTTCTGGATTTGCGTGCTTTCAAAGCAGTTCTCTTTGGAATAAGTTTTGGTTTAAGAACAAATTTCGATTCAATAACCCACATCAGATCAACTCTTAAGTCATTCGTTAGTAAAAGCTTATTTAGTCTCAAAGAATAAAAAAATTATGATAAACCTATTTGATGATCCTATCAATTATTTCAAGACGATCTTTGTTATGTGGGATTTTTTAATGGACAAAAAATCAGTATTTTTAAACGGCTTTGATTTCTCAAAAACTAGGTTTTATTAGGCGTTAACTGTTAATATTAAGTAATAACAATACAAGGACATTTTTATCCAATGACTAATTATATTTTCTTTTATCTCGGGAAGTCTAACGAAGAATACAAATCCAATTTTACCCATTTTTTTTATTAAATGTTAATTTCAAAAGTTGCCTTCCTTGTATATAAAATGTTACATGATAAAATAACGATAGAAAAGCTTATTTATTGATTTTCACATGACTATAAATTCAAATTTATGCAACATCAGATTGTGGTTTGGAGGTGCACTGACTACGATAACCTATTGATAATATTGATAATATCAATTCTATCTATGAAAGTAGTCAGATATTATTCCATAAAGTGATTGCTTTGCCACATTTCTGTTAATTATCTTTTGTACGTATGTGTCATCAGAGTTGTAAGTTTATTATATCAAACTCACTGGCATTAAGTCAAAAATAATGAAAGCAAAAACCTTGACACAGGTCAAACTCTTGACTTGAGTAAAAATCATTACTTAAGTAAAAACTTCGATGAATCAAATTGAAATCGAATTACTCCATGTTTGACAACATCCAAGAGAGAACCCATCATGGACCTAAAAACCGGCACACAGCATTGCCATAAACTGGCTGATCTTAATATGAAATTTACTGCAGATTCAGGAGCATTTGTAGTCTTCTGTATGAGAAAATATCGATGCATATTTTATATCTATCCTACCTGCACTTCCACACAAGGCAAGATTTAAGAAAGAAGATAAAAATGAAATTCAAGATAATTTTAAGCACAACTCGTTTATCATTGCGAACTTAAATTTAGCTCTACCAGTCTGACACGAGTTTGTTGTCACATTTTTACTGGATAATGTATGACAAAACTTTTGGCTTTAGCCATTGACGTGACTAAAGTATTGACTAAAGGTAGTGGGCATTCATTTTCATGTGGATATACCACGTGACACGAAGATTAAAATAAAACTTGTCTAGCTTAATATTAATAGCTAACCATAATCATTATTCTCTGTATAAATATTTTCAACCACAATCCTATTTAACAAAAAAATTTTTATTTATCAGATTTATGATGAAAAAAACAAGTACAAAAATTCTGAATTATATAAATTGTACGCATTATATAAGCTATATAAGAAAAAGGTTTTTTTAGTTGTATACGAATGGACCCCTCTTCTTTTTCTTCTGAGATATCGCTACTAGTTGATGGATTATAAACTAATACCATTTGCCTTTTCAAATCTTCAAGCCCATTTTCTAATTTTTCTATACACATCGTGTACTCTTTTATTCCAACATTTATTTCAACTAAATTTGGTGGATAATAAATGTTTCCATAAGTATTTAAGTGGTTTAATATTTTTTTTCTTGATTCTTCTCGGGTTTCTTCTGCACCTTCCTTCGTACGACGTGTTATTGGTGGATTATCTACATGAATAACCTTTTTACATTCTTTAATTATTGTAGAAAGTTTGTCATTTTCCTTAATCATATCTAAACGATCTTGTTCACACTCAGTATCATCTTCAAAATCTAGAAATTTAGTTCTAACTATAGTTGTAAAATTAACAATATCTCGACCAAAAATAACTGATTGTAACAAATAATAAGCATCAATTTCCTCTTCTCTAAATCTTCCATCGGTGACAAATAAAATTTGGTTAAATCCGTCTTTAATATCATCGACAGTTTCTGCAAAGTTAAATAATATTTCTTGAGGGGTTAACCTTCTATCACCAATCCCGATTGTATCAATTGCTTTCATATTATTAATATTATTGATTACATTAGCTAAAGTAGTTTTTCCACTTCTTTTTCTACCAAATAATAATACTGTTATAATCCTAATTTCTTCATTTTCAGGTTTCTTAATTGTTTCTTCATCTTCATTTGAAGATGATTCATGCTTAAATGAGTTTGATAATGCGTAATCATTTTCGGTTTTTTTATTTGCGTTCAAAGATGCCATTTTTTTTTATTTTCACAAAAACCAATGTGTGTATATATATATATCATTGATTACAAATACTAATTTAAGGATAAATTTTAGTCCTGTTTTAGTCTAATAGAGAAACTTATCTTTTCATTCTGACGTAAATGATATCATAACAATATGTATGGCAGAGTAGGGCTAACAGGAATTAAAAAAGTTTTGCACAGTTACAGCATTGGGTTTTTCTGTGAACCTCATTATTTTTTTTTAAGGGGGTGAAATTCTCGATTGAAGGTTGAAAAATTTGTTCATTCATCCACCTTCCCAAATAAGGGCTCGTTTACGGTTTAGGATTGAGGAATTTGGTCATGACTTTATGTACTAACCATGCTTTCCTTCAGCATAGTTTTAATAATTGAGAAACTAGCTTCACCTGATGCTTTCCTGGAACTTGAAATGTAGTTCGATATAAAAGTTTATGAGAGGTATGCTTTTTGATTGAAAAATGACTTTTGGGTTGTTTTAAAAATTCAGTTGGATTTTGCGGAAATGAAAACTCAATTTTGATCGAAGGACCTTAAAACTAGTTTTACTATCATCCAATGTATTTTATTTTCATTTAAAATGACAAAAGAAAAAAAAAATATAAAATACATTTTTTTTAAAAAAATTGATATACATATATGTTTTAGGAAATAAAACATTTCCCTTGATTTCTTCTTCGAGTTCTCGTCGTTTCTTACTTGCTGCTCGTCGTTGTTCGTCTCGTAGTTCATTTACTTCATTCAATTTTTGTCTCGGAACATTTATTTCATTCTGTAATTTTTCTTTAAGTGTCATATAACCATTTATTTTTTCATCCACAATTTCTTGTAACTTTTCTGGCATATAAACTTTTGTGCAAGTGCTTAAATAGGCCAGTAATCTTTTTCTTGATTCTTTTCGGGTTTCTTCTACGCCTTGTTTAGTACGAAATGTTATTGGTGGATTATCTACATGAATGACCTTTTTGCATGATTTAACAAGTTGAGAAAGGTTATTATTTTCAGAAGTCATATCTTGGTAATCATTTTCACATTCAGCATCATCTTCAAAATCAGGAAATTGCGGAAATGATTGACAAAAGATTAAATGATCATGGTAAAAATTGGAGGCATGTTTACAAAGTAAGTTATATTTTTAAAAATTTTTTTAATGAAAAAGTAATTATATTAATTGAAAAGTGTATACTTGTGTTCATTTTCTCCTTCTTATTATAGGCACTTGTTCTATTAGATTACTGTCTTCATCTAGGGTCCCAAGATGTTGTTTCATATGCAAAAGAAAATTTATATGTGGTAAAAACTTTAAGAGAATTCCAATACATTGATGATGATCTGAAAGATCAGGGCCAGAATGGTACAAAAAATTATTATTATTTAAACTGTATTAAATGCAACAAACAAATGAATAATTTTTTATTTTATAATTTATTTAGTTCGACAAAGGGCCAAGGAGATCACTGAACTTCTTCAGGATGATGAACGTTTACAGCATGAAAGAAACCAACATACTGAATTGAGACAAAGATGGACAGGCAATGATGATCCCTTGACAGATAGAAGTTATAACAATAGTGCATCTACATATGAACATCCTAGTTATTTTGATGAAGAGGCTGATTTAAGAAAGGCAATTGAAGAAGCCAAAAGGTCTGCACAAGATTGAGAGAAATTAAAAGAAATGTATAAAAATTTTCTCTGATAATAATACATATATTGATTGATTTTTTAAAATATATTTTATAGTGAGGATGTTGAAGAATTGGTAAAAGCATTAAGGTTAAATAAGGAGAAAGAAGAACAAAGGAAAAAGGAATCAGATAAAAAACTTGAAATGAGTCTTCTTGATCTTGGGTAAATATCAATTTAATAATAGGGGATTTTATAAATGATCTATTTTAATTATTTAGTACTTATGCTTACACATACTCATACACATGCATGTATAGACCAAGTTAAGTATTATATTATAAATTAACTTTTACAATACTAAAACAACTTTATTAAAGCATCATCTAATTAAATAATTTATTTTTTATTTCTTTATAAGAATCAGAAGGTAAATGTTATATTATAAATTAACTTTTACAACACAAAATAAACTTTATTAAAACATTATTTAATTAAATATTTTTATTTTTATTTTTTTATAATAATTAGTTGGTAAGTGTTACATTATAAATTAACTTTTACAACACAAAATCAACTTTATTAAAACATCATCTAATTAAATAATTTTATTTTTTATTTATAGATGGCAAGTATTATATTATAAATTAACTTTTACAACACAAAATAAACTTTATTAAAACATCATCTAATTAAATACCTTATCCTTTATTTCTTAGAATGTAAGTATTATATTATCAATTAACTTTTACAACACAAAATCAGCTTTATTAAAACATTGTCTAATTAAATAATTTGATTTTTTAATAAGTTTGTAAGTATTATATTATAAATTGGCTTTTCACAACACAAAACAAACTTTATCTTCAATATCATCTAATTAAATAATTTGATTTTTTATTTCTTTATAATAACCAGCTGGTAAGTATTATATTATAAATTGGCATTCACAGCATAAAATCAACTTATTAAAACATCATATAATTAAATGATTTGATTTTTTATTTCTTTATAATAACCAGTGAGTAAGTATTATGTTATAAATTAACTTTTATAACACAAAATCAACTTTATTAAAACATCATTTAATTAAATAATTTTATTTTTTATTTTTAGAATGTAAGTATTATATTATAAATTAACTTTTACAACACAAAATCAACTTTATTAAAACATCATCTAATTAAAATAATTTATTTTTTATTTCTTAGACCGTAAGTATTATATTGTAAATTAACTTTTAAAACATAAAATAAACTTTATTAAAACATAATCTAATTAAATAATTTTTTTTATTATTTTTTATAATAACCAGCTGGTAAGTATTATATTGTAAATTAACTTTTAAAACATAAAATAAACTTTATTAAAACATCATCTAATTAAATATTTTTATTTTATTATTTTTTATAATAACCAGCTGGTAAGTATTATATTATAATTTAATTTTTATAACACAAAATAAACTTTATCTTCAACATCATCTAATTAAATAATTTGATTTTTTATTCCAGTGAGTAAGTATTATATTATAAATTAACTTTTATAACACAAAATCAACATCATCTAATTAAATAATTTTATTTTATAATAACCAGATGGTAAGTATTATATTATAAATTAACTTTTGCAATACAAAATTAACTTTATTAAAACATCATATAATTAAATAATTTGATTTTATAATAACCAGATGGTAAGTATTATATTATAAATTAACTTTTACAACGCAAAATAAACTTTATTAAAATATCATCTAATTAAATAATTTTATTTTATAATAACCAGGGAGTAAGTATTATATTATTAAATTAACTTTTACAACACAAAATAAACTTTATTAAAACATCATCTAATTAAATAATTTGATTTATTATTTCATTATAATAACTAGTTGGTAAGTATTATATTATTAATTAACTTCTATAACACAAAATCAACTTTATTAAAACATTATTTAATTAAATAATTTTCTTTTTTATTTCTTAGAATGTAAGTATTATATTATAAATTAACTTTTACAACACAAAATCAACTCTATTAAAACATTACCTAATTAAATAATTCTATTTTTTATTTCTTAGACTGTAAGTATTATATTGTAAATTAACTTTTAAAACATAAAATAAACTTTATTAAAACATCATCTAATTAAATAATTTTATTTTATTATTTTTATAATAACCAGCTGGTAAGTATTATATTGTAAATTAACTTTTGCAATACAAAATAAACTTTATTAAAACATCATCTAATTAAATAATTTGTTTTTTTATTCCATTATAATAATCAGATGGTAAGTGTAATATTATAAATTAACTTTTACAACACAAAATAAACTTTATTAAAACATCATCTAATTAAATATTTTTATTTTATTTCATTATAATAACAGAGGGTAAGTATTATATTATAAATTAACTTTTACAACACAAGATAAACTTTATTAAAACATCATTTATTAAATAAATTTATTTTATATTTCTTTATAATAACAGCTTGTAAGTATTATATTATAAATTAACTTTAAACACTAAATAAACTTTATTAAAACATCATCTAATTAAATAAATTTATTTCTTATTCTCTTATAATGACCAGTTAGTAAGTATTATATTATAAATTAACTTTATAACACAAACTAAATAAATTTATTTCTTATTTTACAATAACCAGCTGGTAGGTATTATATTGTATTATATATAAACTTTTACAATTTTTATATCAGATTAATAAGTTTATTTTTCTTTATTTATAATGATAACCAGTTGGTAAGTATTATTTTATAAATTTAAACAAAATAATTTTATTAAAGCATCATCTAATTAATAAATCTTCTTTATAACAATAACTAGGGAGTAAGTATTACATTATATAATTAAATTTTTTAATTTTATTAAAACACTGACTAATTAATAAATTTATTTTCTTTATAATAACCAGCATGTAAGTAACTTTTACAACACAAAATAAGTTTTTATAACATCATCTAATTAAATATTTTTTGTCTTTTCTTCATAATAACTAGCTGGTAAATATTATATTATATTATAAAATAACTTCACAACATAAAGTAATTTTTATCAAACCTTTGTCTAATTAAATAAACTTATTTTTTGTGTTTTATAATGACTAACAATTGAAGGTAAAATAATTTATAAATTTGATTTTTTTTATAACTTTTAAATGAATGTCTATTTTTATTATGTTGAAAATAATTCTATTTTATTTTGAATTTTTTTTTTTACAATGAAAAATTAATTATTTGAAATAATAAGATAACACTAAGGGGTTTAAAGAAAGAGAAGAATATGGAATCTGTTCTGTTTGTGGAAGATATAATACTAATTACCAATGGTGTCAATCATGTGATCCCAAATTGTTAGCTCAAAGTTGGACTAGTAGTGGTAATGAAAAGTTAGATGAAATAATCAGAAACACACAGCTTGAAGCAAAAGGATTTGATAGTTACCATTACCTTGAATGGATTCCTTATGACCAACTCACAGTTGAAGAAGCAATAGGTAAAGGTGGTTTTGCAACTGTGCATAAATGTTATTGGTCAAATGGTCCTAGATATGTTTATGGCAATACAAGATCTTATTATCTAAGTGGTAAAGTAGCATTAAAAAAGGTTAAAAATTCACAAAATACTCCTGATGAGTTTTTAAAGGAGGTAAATAATTTGATAATTAATTGACAAATAATGATTTTTAAACAATATGTTGATTTTTTATTAATTTTCATAAAGCTTCAAAATCACATCAAATTTATAGGACCTTATCATAAAGGTATTGTTAATATTTATGGTATTTCACAAGATCCAAATACAAAAGAATATGTTCTTGTAATGAGATATGCACCTGAAGGAGATTTTAAGAAATATTTAAAATCAAATGATACAAGATGGATTGATAAAATTAAAAGACTTTATGACATTGTCTCGAGTTTAAACACATTTCATCAAGAAAAACTTACACACGGTGATCTTCACAGTGGTAATATTTTATATTTTGAATATTTATCCCAGGCAATGATTACAGATTTAGGGTCATCAGGCCCAGCTGATCAAGAAACATCAAGTAAAAATGGCATTATTGGAGTACTGCCATATATTGCACCAGAGGTATTAAATGGGAAACCTTATACACAAAAATCTGACATCTACAGCTTTGGGATTTTAATGTCAGAAACATCAACATGTCAACAGCCATTTAAAGATCAACCACATGATATAGAACTTGCTTTCAAGATCTGTGGTGGCTTAAGGCCTAAAGACTAGTGCCGTAAATTATGATGATGGTAGTAATTGTATTTACGGCATATAAAAAGTGGTTGCAATTACCTTTGTGACCACTTTTGCAACCATACTTTTTCCTTTTTTGGATTACAGCACTAGTCTTTATTAAGGCCTAGTTTTTCAGATAATACTCCAGAATGTTATATTAAGTTAGCATACAAATGCATGGATGCTGATCCTGAAAAAAGACCAATGACAGATGAAATTTTAAAAATTATTACTTTTTGGAAAGATGCAATTGCTATTGATAAAATTATAAAATTGAATAAATCTAACTATTCTAAAAAGCAGTTAGATGAATTAAAAAAATTGAGAAAAATATTTAAGGAAGCAGATGAAACCCCCTTTAACCCTTCAACAATTCCAGCAACTTTTCATCCAAGTGCTATTTATACAAGTAGATTATTTAATTTTACAAATCTTCTTCAACCTGTAAATTCCAATAAAGTTACAATTATTAGTAACAATAATGGTAATCATCTAATTTATTGTTATATATTTAATCTTAATTATTTATTATTAATGATATTTTAAATTATGTATTATAAATCAATACTATAGAATCTAAACAAATTGAATTAACTATGCCAGATTCCAAACAAATTGAATTAACTATACCAGATGATTTATGAATATATTTTATTTATCTCATTATTGAATTTTTACCTAGTATCTTAGGAAGTGTTGCATGATGAACAAGCACCTCTTGTTATCATCAAAAAAATTTTTAATGATTA